AGGTTGTAAATCTAAAATTTTTTATGACTCAGATGAAGAAACAGACCTTATCGCTGGATTTCTCTCGCGAAATCTAGTTACCTTGTCAAATTTCATTGGATTCCGAGATAGTCGAATTTTTTGCATTTTACAAGGCGGTCGGTCGAGTCTCGGGTGACCAAAAAACGAGATTTTTAATAAAATTTTAAAATTTTAAAAATAAATTGACGTAAGTTAAAATAAAAATATTTTGAATTTAAACCGGAGTGAAATTTAATCGTTTCGAGGCTAAAACAGACTCGAAAAAAAGAGGGCAATGTGGCGCGTTGTGGGTCAAGTAAATTAAGAAGTATATAAGGGGGAATAATCTGATTTTTCCCTCATATTCATCAGCCGGTTTATGTTGGAGAAGAAGAGAGGGAAAATTCAAGTTCTCTCCACATTCTCTCTACAATCTACGGAGATCAAGTGTTCAAATCAACACGGGCCAAGAACAAAAGTCTATCTCCTCAACGAGGATTAAGAGGCTATACCAAAAAGCGTGGATTTTACTGAAGATTAAGAAACGAGATTTTTGGAAATTAGGGATTCTAGCTCATTTTTGAGGTCTTGGAGTTTCTTGATGGCATTTTAAGCTTCAAGAGGTAGGGTTCCTTCCTACTTTGGTTTATTTTACAACCTAGGGTATTATATGAAATGAGTAGGTTGATAGAGCTATATATCACTTGCCTATTTGTGGTGAAATTGATGAAATAGGTATTAGAAAGAGGTAGAATAAATCTTATCCTATAATGGGTGTGTAGAATTTACCTTGTGAATTAAGTGTGTTATTGACATGAATTATGTGCTAACATGCTTGTGATTTGTTGTTGGGTAAGAAAATGTTGATATATGTTTATAAATATATCGACATTATGATAAAATTGGTAATTATATGCTTTGGAAATGAATTGCCATGAAATATGTATAAATATGATAAATTTGCTCATATGACATTCATTACATATGGGGCATGACATCAATATAGCAATGGTGCATTACATTGTATTTGAACAGAAGCATCGCATCCATGGGCATGAGACATAAGTGTAGGTATAGGTGTGTGCATGGTTTAATAAACCACCATACTTGGTAGTTGATGGGTGGGCTCGAAAAAGTTGGATTGAAAATTTGACTGAATCGTACAGTTGCATGAAAATTGAGTTGGGGCTAGTAAGAAGGGTTAGACTATCCCTTGGGTGAGAGACCTGGTGATCGGAAATGTACTCCGTTGGTATAAGAGTCCATAAAGTGTGTCGGCGTACGCGGAACTATTGGTGAGAGTCCATGAATTCCATGTTGGTTGGGTGTCATTGGTGTAAGTCCATAAATACCCACTCCAATAAAGACCTAGAGATCTTTAAATAGTCATTGGGTGTGTAACGCCAATGGCAGGGGCTTGGAAAGCCCGGTTTTATACTCATTGCATTGCATGGGGGAAAAAAGGAGCCAGGGAGGGCTTGAGTTGAGTTGCATGAGTGAGTATCACCTCATATCATGACATGACATATTAGATTCCAACTTAAACTTGCTTAATCTTGATTGAAATGGTTGTTGCTTGTTATGTGTTACATGTGAGCATTTTATATGTATCTAGGTTAGGGAGTAACTTCTGTAAGAAATACTCTATTGGGCGTGGCTCATCCTATACGGATAAAATATTTTAGTTGTGGGATATGCGCCGATGGAAGGCCCTCACATAGGACAACAAGGATGAAGAAAGCCGGAATGTGGCTTTAATTTTGAGTTTTTGTAAATGATTATGAAAACCTTGTTTTGATATCTAAATTCATGGAATTAATGTATTAAAATTGTGTATGGACCTTATGTAATATGAAAACCTTTATATACATGTGTTGGATGGAGTTAATATATTTTGAAATGGATTGAAAATGAAAAACAGGTTAAACAGGAAAAATTGGACAGAACCTAACGGTAGATCGCTGTCCAATGGGCAACACCTACCTGTAGAACCTACCGGTAGAATCTCTCACAGGCAAAATTTGTTTATCAGGCAAAATCTATCGGTAGGACTTTTTTAGCGGGTTGACGAGTGGTCAACGGTTGAAAAAAGACCCCCGATTTTAGGGGCGTCACAACTTGGTATCAGAGTCTAGGTATGCGATTTACGTAGGGGTTGATGGGGCATGAGTCTAGACCATTGTATTCATTGTGCATTACATGCTATGTGCTTTAATATGATACATCTTATGTGTTATATGTTATGTGAATGATATGCATGGTAAAATAAATATAGAAAAAAGACACTAGGGTTAGAAAACATAATATTGGGGGTCAGAAAACAAAGGAACGAGATAGTTCAGGGTGTAAAGATCTACTAGTGNGACACTAGGGTTAGAAAACATAACATTGGGGGTCAGAAAACAAAGGAACGAGATAGTTCAGGGTGTAAAGATCTACTAGTGGGTGGCATAAGTTCTACTAGAAAAACAAGGAGATGAATCTCAGAGTTTCAAAGTTGGTCCCTACTTTGGGATACTAAATTGGTACTCTATTGTTGTTTGACATGTGTGTAGATGACAAATAGAGGAAGTGAACGTCAAGATAGTGGGTGGAACAATAATCAACCACCACGGGCCTTTGACCAACAAGCCTTCATGGAGGCTATTGGTACTATGGATGCTACCATTGCACAGGCTAGTGCAAATGTGAGACAATGAGACTCGAGTAACCTCCAAAGGTTTAAGACACACAAGCTTCCAATTTTTAAGGGAGGGGCGGATCCGATGGTAGCTGACCATTGGTTCCGGCAAGTTGAAAAGATTGTAGAGGCAATGAAGATCATCTCTGATGCCACAAAGATAAGGCTAGTTGCATTCCAATTAGAGGGGGAAGCCCAACTGTGGTGGAATTAGGCGAAGGACTCCAAAAACTTGGAGGAAATGACATGGGGAAAGTTTCAAGAGCTCTTCATGGGCAAGTATTTTCCTGCGGCTGTTCGACATGCTAAAACAAACCCGAGATTTTTTGAATTGAAACAAGGAACCATGATGGTGATGGAATATGTGGCTAAGTTCACTGAGTTAGCCCGTTTTGCTGATGACTACGTGACCACAAATATGGCCATAGTGAGGAAGTTTGAGGATGAATTGAAATTATCTATCTGGGAAAACATTGTAGGCCTCCGCCTACAAGACTTGGAATCGATGGTCAAGACAACAATGGTCAATCTTCTCTATACCTCGAAATTATCCATCTGGAGGAAAATTGTGGGCCTCCGCCTACAAGACTTGGATTTGATGGTCGAGACAACAATGATCAATCTTTCCTATACCTCCAGTGTTTAGGGTAAGAGGAGGCGAACTATGTTCTGAAGGAGATACACGAAGGTATTTGTGATAATCACTTTGGAGGACACTAACTCTCCCACAAGGTGCTACAACAAGGATACTACTGGCCCATGATGACTAAGGATAAACATGCATTTGTAAAAAATAGTGATAAATGTCAAAGATTTTCCAATATCCAACATGTCCTTTCACAAGAACTCAGCTCAGTTTCCAGTCCATGGCCTTTTGCACAGTGAGGTATCGATATTGTGGGACCCCTACGGTGAGGAAAGGGTCAATATTGATTTGCGGTGATATTTATTGATTATTTCACTAAATGGACAAAAAAAAAGCGCCTAGCCATAATTTTTGAAAAGAAAATCATAGATTTTGCTTGGAAATCCATTATATGTCGATTTGGAGTTTCGCAAGCTATATTTTTAGACAACAAAAAAAGGTTCGACTCAAATGGCTTTTGTAGTTTTTGCTTCAACCTCGGAATAAAGAACCATTTCTTCTCTCCANGGATTTGGAGTTTCACAAGCTATATTTTTAGGCAACAAAAAAAGGTTCGACTCAAATGGCTTTTGTAGTTTTTGCTTCAACCTCGGAATAAAGAACCATTTCTTCTCTCCAAGACATCCCTAGTCGAACGAACAAGTCGAAGTCACCAATCACAAACTTTTTTAGAATATCAAGACCAAGCTAGAAGAAAAACAAGGTTTATGGGTTGAGCTCCTTCATGAATTTCTATGGGCATATCGAACGACCCCCAAAAAAGCCACATAAGGGAATCTATTCATGTTGAAGTTTAGCACTGAAGTAGTTATTGCAGCAGAAATAGGTCTTCCATCATTCAAAACTAGCACCACGATCCCCGAGTCAATGAAGGGGAATTGAGAACAAACCTTGACGCCTTNGGTAGTTATTGCAGCAGAAATAGGCCTTCCATCATTCAAAACTAGCACCACGATCCCCGAGTCAATGAAGGGGAATTGAGAACAAACCTTGACGCCTTGGAAGAAACCCGCGACCTGGCTACTCTCCACATAGCTTTCTACCTGCAGCAGACTGCTTGCAATTACAATAGGAGGGTGAAAGAGATGGAGCTCGTGCTAAAAAAAAAAGTCATTAATAGAAAAAGACAAGTTATCCTCAAATTGTGTAGGTCTGTACATCGTTGTTCGAGAAGTCCAACCAGAGAATTATCAATTAAGGAACTTCCAAGGGAAAATACTCTCTCCACGTGGAATGCTGANAGTAGTTATTGCAGCAGAAATAGGTCTTCCATCATTCAAAACTAGCACCACGATCCCCGAGTCAATGAAGGGGAATTGAGAACAAACCTTGACGCCTTGGAAGAAATCGCGACCTGGCTACTCTCCACATAGCTTTCTACCCGCAGCAGACTGCTTGCAATTACAATAGGAGGGTGAAAGAGATGGAGCTCGTGCTAAAAAAAAAAGTCATTAATAGAAAAAGACAAGTTATCCTCAAATTGTGTAGGTCTGTACATCGTTGTTCGAGAAGTCCAACCAGAGAATTATCAATTAAGGAACTTCCAAGGGAAAATACTCTCTCCACGTGGAATGCTGAGCATCTTAAGAAGTACTATGTGTAACTTGCCTCTTGTTTGGATTGTAATGAAAAGTTCAATATTCATTTGCACGCATTGCTTATTATCAAAGCGAATCAAGGTGAAGACCCTCCGAGGTTAGTGCCCACCAAAGGGAAAAAGCCCTCTAGGGCTATAGACGAAAGCAAAAACCTTTCAAGGCTATAGTCGACCAAGGCAAGAGCCCACAAAGACTGAGGCAAAAGCCCATAAAGGAAAATGCCCACCAAGGCAAAAGCCAATTGAGGTGAGAGCCCACCAAGACGAAATCCACCAAGGAATAAAAACTCTTCAGGGTTATAGCCGACCAAGGCGAAAGCCAATCGAGGCAAGATCCCACCATGGAGAAAACCAACCAAGGTAAGAGAACACAAAGATCGAGGCAAAATCCTATAAAAGCAAATACCCACCAAGGAAAAAGCCAACCAAGGAGAGAGCCCACTNTGCCCACCAAAGGGAAAAAGCCCTCTAGGGCTATAGACGAAAGCAAAAACCTTTCAAGGCTATAGTCGACCAAGGAGAAAGTAAACCAAGGCAAGAGCCCACAAAGACTGAGGCAAAAGCCCATAAAGGAAAATGCCCACCAAGGCAAAAGCCAATTGAGGTGAGAGCCCACCAAGACGAAATCCACCAAGGAATAAAAACTCTTCAGGGTTATAGCCGACCAAGGCGAAAGCCAATCGAGGCAAGATCCCACCATGGAGAAAACCAACCAAGGTAAGAGAACACAAAGATCGAGGCAAAATCCTATAAAAGCAAATACCCACCAAGGAAAAAGCCAACCAAGGAGAGAGCCCACTAAGGCGAAAGCCCACCAAGGTGAAAGCCCACCGAGGCGAAAGCCCTCCTGAGGTGAAAGCACACAAAGGTGATTTTCCACCGAGGAAAGAGCCCACCAAGAGAATACCTTCAGAGGAAAGCTCCCACCAGGGTAAAACAATCAAAAAGGTCAAAAAATAAAGACAACAAACCAGAATCACTGGTGAGTAGTCGAATGAGACAAGTAAGCATATTTGATTTCCAATCTTTTAAATTTGTATGCTTTACTTCGGAGAATGTTTAGAGAAATTTGATCACAATGTTATAGCTCTGAGGTTGGATCACGGAAAGAAAAGCTTTCAATCCCGAATGCTATAGCAAAATTTCTAACTTAGACAAATTTGACCACAATAGCTCTAAGGTAAAATCACAGAAAGAAAAGCTTCCAATCCCAAACACTCTAGCAACATTTCTAACTTTGCCANTGTAAAACAATCAAAAAGGTCAAAAAATAAAGACAACAAACCAGAATCACTGGTGAGTAGTCGAATGAGACAAGTAAGCATCTTTGATTTCCAATCTTTTAAATTTGTATGCTTTACTTCGGAGAATGTTTAGAGAAATTTGATCACAATGTTATAGCTCTGAGGTTGGATCACGGAAAGAAAAGCTTTCAATCTCGAATGCTATAGCAAAATTTCTAACTTAGACAAATTTGACCACAATAGCTCTAAGGTAAAATCACAGAAAGAAAAGCTTCCAATCCCAAACACTCTAGCAACATTTCTAACTTTGCCAAATTTGATCACAATGTTAGAGCCTTGAGGTTGAATCAAGGAAAGAAAAGCTTCCAATCCCGAATGCTTTAGCAAAATTTCTAACTTAGACAAATTTGATCACAATGTTGTAACTCTGAGGTCAGATCATGAAAAGAAATGCTTCCAATTCTGAACGCTCTAGCATAGTTTTTAACTTTAAAAATTTGACTATAACGTTATATCTTGGATGACGAACAACAAAAGTTAAACTTTCAGGCACTCGAACGAAAATTTAAACTTAGAATATTTTTAAAACACATAATGANGAAAAATTTGACTATAATGTTATATCTTGGATGACGAACAACAAAAGTTAAACTTTCAGGCACTCGAATGAAAATTTAAACTTAGAATATTTTTAAAACACATAATGAGCAAAAGAGTATATTTTTCATTAAAAGAAATGGATAAATATATTTGAGAATAGAAAATAAGCAAAAGAAAAAAGCCCTATTCATTCTCGATCCCTTCTNAAAATTTGACTATAACGTTATATCTTGGATGACGAACAACAAAAGTTAAACTTTCAGGCACTCGAACGAAAATTTAAACTTAGAATATTTTTAAAACACATAATGAGCAAAAGAGTATATTTTTCATTAAAAGAAATGGATAAATATATTTGAGAATAGAAAATAAGCAAAAGAAAAAAGCCCTATTCATTCTCGATCCCTTCTATGTCCTAGTCCTTGTCTCCAACTCCTCAGCCTCATACATATTACTATTTCCTCCTTCAGCCTCCACCTGGATGACGCTGAAATCAATGATTGGAAATTTGGCAGTGGCTTGGACTCAGAAAGATACATACCCTCCTGAGTACACCTGGCCAAAATCCATAAGATACTCCTCTCCCTCCTTATAGTCAACCATGACCTTCGCCTCCCTGGCTGTTATCTATNGTCCTAGTCCTTGTCTCCAACTCCTCAGCCTCATCCATATTACTATCTCCTCCTTCAGCCTCTACCTGGATGACGCTGAAGTCAATGATTGGAAATTTGGCAGTGGCTTGGACTCAGAAAGATACATACCCTCCTGAGTACACCTGGCCAAAATCCATAAGATACTCCTCTCCCTCCTTATAGTCAACCATGACCTTCGCCTCCCTGGCTGTTATCTATTTTTCTTTCTCACTAAGGAAAAGGGTCAGCTCGGAGACCTTTTCTTCTAGACTCTTGACCTTCTCTCCTAACTCCCTGGTATGCTCTAACTCCTTCAGAAGGGTCTTTTCAGAAGTGATGGCCTGATTAGTGTCAACTGTCGATTTCTTAGAGAAAACATCTCTCTCCTTCGTTAACTTCTCCAGAAGTTTGTCATTGTTGAGGAGATCAAATTTCAGATCTGCTTTGGATTTTTGGAGCTTTGAGATAAGGGCCCAGAGGCCTGGTTCCCTATAGTTAACAAAGATAGGAGCTCAGCAAACTACCATGAATCCAAAAAAGATCCAAAAGTATGCAATAATAACTATTAAAGGTAGAAAAATAAACATTAATACCTCACTTATCTTCTTGCAAGCTAAAGAGTNTATCTGCTTTGGATTTTTGGAGCTTTGAGATAAGGGCCCAGAGGTCTGGTTCCCTATAGTTAACAAAGATAGGAGCTCAACAAATTACCATGAATACAAAAAAGATCCAAAAGTATGCAATAATAACTGTTAAAGGTAGAAAAATAAACATTAATACCTCACTTATCTTCTTGCAAGCTAAAGAGTGAACTTTTGGAGGGCCCAATTCCTTCAGTTTCCCTACTGAATCTCTGGACATGTTGCTATGAACCCAATTCACAGGGTTAACTACAGGATTTAAGGGTATAGTCACCCTAAATTCTATGGGACCCCTTTTAGAGATAGCTGAGTGATTAGTGGTTCTCGATTTTCCTAACAATTCAATCACCGGGGTAGGACCTTTATTCATCGCTGCAACCGCCATAATTTTGGGGGTTTCACCTAAAACCCCGACCTCGAGAGTCAGACTTACCCCTTTCGGAGTCTTTGCCTTCTTTGCCGAGGGCAAGTCCACCCTTATAAGGAATTTTACTTTTTGAGCTATTGTGACCTTCTTGTCCAGAGGCAAACCCAGAGACCCTAAACCAAAAAATATTTCAAAAACAAGTTAAGGAAATGAATTTTGAAAAATCACTTCCCAAAAGAAAGTTAGGGCAAGAACTCACTCTCCTCTTCTGACATCAAGAGTTGGAATAATAAGACAATAATTAGGGAAATGGCTAACAAAAATTGCAAATGTAAAACCCAAAAGAGGGAATTGACCAGAAGGGACTAATATGACCACAATCTGGGAACTGAATCACAATCTCCGGACTGTCCCTCCTCTGGGCCAAACTCCCAATCCCCAAGCAAAAGGAAAAACCAAGGCTTCCAATTCTGGTTTGAATCAGGAAGTCCTAAGACCAAATGAAGGATCCTTAGCTGCGTACTCATGTAGAAATAGCCTTTTTGTGTACAGTCTTTTACTTTGTAGCAATGTAAAAACTCTTCTAAAGTAATAGAATGATGCCCCCACTACTTAATACCATAAGGCCATTATACTAGTAAGGGTCTTCCAGGCTTTAGGCACTAGTTGACAAGGGGACAATCCCAGCCATGAAAGAACCAACCTAATGAAAGAAGGAACTGGGAACTGAAGTCTGGCCTGTAGGGCTGACTCCGGCATACAAACCTATTCATACGAAGAAGTGTAAGCTCATTCGTGCGCTGACAGAAATTGTCCCCTTACAAAATTAGGCAAGGTATACCGATTTTTCAAAGAAACCACACTATCCTCGGTATAGTGATGCTCTATTTCATGTGCCTCCAAGTGAGACGACATATTGAAAGAAGGAGAAAAAGATCACTCAGAACCCCCATCTCCTTGACCCACAGATTCAATAGGCTCTGAATCTGCATTTGGGTCAAAAAAACTCACTATAATATCCTCACTAGCCCCACCTGACATGACACCTTTACGAACAAGAACAACGGTGTTACGACGTTTGGTGATAGCTTCTACAATTTCCTTAGGAGAACCCTCTAAAAGTACATATCTAAAGTTGAGGGTTTCACGTGAAGGCTTACCAGGAAAATCGGGGAGGAGGGGGTTGTATGGGCTGACGATGCTCTCAGGACCATTATCACTGTACACTATTATGAGCTTAATGCTCATAAAGGAGAAAGAAGATAGAAAGAAATAGGACAACGATCTCCTATAGAGTCTAGAAGCAAAGACAGAAAAACCCAAAAACAAAGGAAAAAGGAAAAGAAAGGAGAAAGAAAGGATACTTATACCTAACACCAAAGCTCTAGATTGTTTAATCCAATAGAGGGGAGCCTAAAGGTTAGATCCATTCTAGACTTGGCAACAAGTGCCAGCGGTTACCAAATGTGCTTTGTTTGAAAAGACAACGCCTTAAATGTGCCCCCCTTGGAAGTCAAAAATTCACCAAAAAATCATTTCAAAATTCAAGGTTAATCATCACAATTGCCTAAAATGAGCTCCGAGGATAATGGACCCATCGAATAAAATTCCTAAGCGACCCAAGAGGTCATAAGGAAACGGGGAGGTATTGATGGATATAATCCTTACTTCAATCCAGACTTTAGAGCTTGGTGAACAGTAGTAATCTCAACTGACAAGATAACCAACCTACATCAACCACTAACGATATGAGACTAGTTAGGAAGAATCTAACAATTGGCATAGCATGTCTGACACTACACGTGGGTTGTCACCATGCTGAGACAAGCCAAAAATGGAGGCTCTTGCATGACAATAACTATGTACACATTCAATCATGAATGATTACTCCTAATCATTACCCATCAAAGCTAAAAATACTCTCAACACACACTATAAAAGCCCTCATAAATGAAAGGTTAAGGTAAGGGAAAATTGCTAGAGAGAAAACTTTCTCTCTTTTTTTATCTTTAAACTTGATAAATAATTTATTCTGCTAAGTTGATTTTGGTATCAGAGGTGGTTCACCTGGGACCACACCGATCCCCTACTCTTAATTTTTTTTTACAGGACCACTGTTGCTTGAGGTTCGGTCTTTGGACTCAAAACACATATTGTCGACCTCATTTACTGATTGCTCCATCAGGCATGTTCTCCTAGATACCTTTCTCAAGATCGATTATCTCATCGATGTTTCATTGTTCATGTCCACGTATCATGCTCTAATACGAGTGTTGTTTCGTGTTTCGTCAGTAAATTAACAATTAAATTGATTGTGTTTAAAAGATTTATTTAATATTTAAGAGACATCAACTTAAAAACGCTAAAAAAAAAAATTAAAAAACCAAAAGATAAATTCCAAAAAATAGGGAGAGCCGGACCTGCCCAAGAAACCCCTCTCCCATGGATGCCATTTTGCTCCTAGAATTGCAATTTGAAAGATCATAGAGGTTACAAGTGAGCGGTTGGTTTAATGGGTAAAAACTTGATTTTTTTGACTATTTAAAGTCTAGAACGGTTACTTGGCTATGACAATTTGGTGAAATTAAATTTACTCTTCAATGTCTAGAGGACATAATGGGACCTTAATTTCAACCCAACATAGGTTCGATAAAATCTATTTTAAAATTTTGTGGTGCTAAGAAATCTCTAATGAATATGTAAGTGACTTATCTTTATATTTATTTTTAATAATAAAAAGAAAAAAGACCAGGGAGGTTATCTACAGCCGAAAAAGCTATTGCCTTGGGTAGAGTGATTATGTTGAATTTATATGGCAATGAGTGATCAACCTGACTTCTGCTACTTACTTTTTGAAAAAAATTTGTTATGGTATCTCTAAAGTTTATTATTTTAAATTATATTTTTATAATTTTTGTAAGTTATTTTATATTCAAAAAATGTATCACATTTTGTGGTTGATTTATTATTATTGTGGGTATTTTTATCACATTTATAATAACTATTTTTATCATTTTTTTATCCAAAAAAATTATCACTTTGTGAGTGATTTACCACATTTATTGGTATTTTATTATATTTATTAATATTTTTATTACTATTATGATTACTATTATTACTATTTTTTAGGTAGCACGACAATGATATGTAGTATATAGTACAGTAGTAGTACAGTATGTTGTATCTTCAGGATTCTTTTTCTATACCTAGTCAACTCCCCCTTATGGTATACATAAGTACGTAGTAGTCCGAGGCAGGAGTGGAGCATGGGACAGTATGTGTGGTATCTTTAGGTTTCTTTTTATTTTTTTTGTTCCCCACATTTCATGGCTGCATTTATTTGAATCTAACTTATTTCAACTTGTTTGATCATATTCTGATGTAAAAAAATGTGTCAGTATTCATTGTTAGGAAATGTTTAAATTAAAATATAATTACGTTTCTAATTTCTGTTACTATTATTATCGCCAATTACACTCGCATTTGTGATACTGTTAATGTTCTTGTCATGGTGACTGTTACCATTATTTAAAACTATGCACTAAACTCATAAGTTGTTTTATATTTGGTTGATACTGGCCCCATTTTCGATGGTGGGGTCCCAAGAAATTTGAGGAACAGAAAAAAATTCACGTTACCGTCTTCCATCTGGTCAAAAAAAAAAAGGGTTACAGTCTTCCAACTTCAGTACGTGTTCTAGTTTGACAGTAGTATTTAAGAGATATGATTGAAAGTGCCATACAAATGGAGAATGCTTAAGGGGGTGCAACTCGGCGGTTGAGCAGTGAATCCTAGATGTATAATCTTCAATTTTAATCTTATTTCAATCTGAGGTATTCAACTCAAGTATTGTCCGAGTTTAATTCGGATGGATTCAGGTTAAATTTGAGTTACTTAATTCGGGTTGATTTTGGGTTAAGAATCTTGTTGGGCTTGAGTTATTTAATTCGGATTGATATTTTGAAGTGTAGATTTGATTTTTTCAAGTGTAAATTTAATTTTTTTAAGTGATTTGAGATGAAAGGAGAAAGAGGAGTGACAAGTGGGACAGAGAGGCTGAGAGTCTAAAACGACTCAGACGAGTGAATATTGAGAGAGGTAGGAGTGACGAGTGAGAGAGAGATTTGAGAGTGATGGAAGCGCAGAGGTGAAGACTTAAAGTGAAATGAAAATCTTGACTCTAAAGAGTGAAAATAAATATTAACTCTAATTAAATATATTTATGTATATTCGGGTGCAACCCGATTTAATAATCGGGTTCAACTCTATTGTAATATTCGGGTTGAATCCGACAACTTGAGACTTTAATCCGAGACTTGTCCAAATTCAATTCGAGTTGGAGTTTTTTTGCTCAGACTCAATCCAAGTATTAAAAATTTTAATCCAAATCCTGTTATTTTTTTCGGGTTGAACTTGGGTTGAAGTCGGGTTGATCCACCCAAATTACACCCCTAGAATGCATGCAAGTGACTGTTGCAGGGGACTTTGGATTATATGGTGCATGGACCTTAGAAAATCTGCTACTCTGGGCATTTGCTTTTATTTGGGGGCATCGGTTCGTAGTCAAACCGGCCTCAACTAATTGTAACTCTGATAATTTCAGCACTCAGCTCTNCAGGGGGTGCAACTCGGCGGTTGAGCAGTGAATCCTAGATGTATAATCTTCAATTTTAATCTTATCTCAATCTGAGGTACTCAATTCAAGTATTGTCCGAGTTTAATTCGGATGGATTCGGGTTAAATTTGAGTTACTTAATTCGGGTTGATTTTGGGTTAAGAATCTTGTTGGGCTTGAGTTATTTAATTCGGATTGATATTTTGAAGTGTAAATTTAATTTTTTCAAGTGTAAATTTAATTTTTTCAAGTGATCTGAGATGAAAGGAGAAGGAGGAGTGACAAGTGGGACAGAGAGGCTGAGAGTCTAAAACGACTCAGACGAGTGCATATTGAGAGAGGGAGGAGTGACGAGTGAGAGAGAGATTTGAGAGTGATGGAAGCGCAGAGGTGAAGACTTAAAGTGAAATGAAAATCTTGACTCTAAAGAGTGAAAATAAATATTAACTCTAATTAAATATATTTATGTATATTCGGGTGCAATCCGATTTAATAATCGGGTTCAACTCTATTGTAATATTCGGGTTGAATCCGACAACTTGAGACTTTAACCCGAGGCTTGTCCAAATTCAATTCGAGTTGGAGTTTTTTTGCTCAGACTCAATCCAAGTATTAAAAATTTTAATTCAAATCCTGTTATTTTTTTCGGGTTAGACTTGGGTTGAAGTCGGGTTGATCCACCCAAATTACACCCCTAGAATGCATGCAAGTGATTGTTGCAGGGGACTTTGGATTATATGGTGCATGGACCTTAGAAAATCTGCTACTCTGGGCATTTGCTTTTATTTGGGGGCATCGGTTCGTAGTCAAACCGGCCTCAACTAATTGTAACTCTGATAATTTCAGCACTCAGCTCTTTGGTTTTTTTTTTTTGAGCGTGAATATATACAATATTATTTGGTTTTACAAGTCTTTTGATGCTAAATATAAATAAATCACCATTTCTTTGTGTAGAATATTTTTTCGTTTGAGGCATCGGTTTAGTAGGTATGCACACAAACTTGAGTTAAATTCAAAATTTTTAGTACTTTGGTTGAACTTTTATATATTTGGGTTGGGTTTACACAAAAAATCCTAACCTAAATTGGATTTAGACAATACTTGGGTTGGAGCTTTGTTTGACGGGTTCAATCCAAACCTAATGCCAATTTATGAAATTAGGTTCAACCTGTATTCAATCCGAAATTTAAATAAAAAATGGCTAAGAGTCATTTATGAGAGCTATTAGAAAACGAGTGAAGTTGGCTCCTCTCTCATATGCGACAGATGATCTATTATTCNTCCGATTTAATAATCGGGTTCAACTCTATTGTAATATTCGGGTTGAATCCGACAACTTGAGACCTTAACCCGAGGCTTGTCCAAATTCAATTCGAGTTGGAGTTTTTTTGCTCAGACTCAATCCAAGTATTAAAAATTTTAATTCAAATCCTGTTATTTTTTTCGGGTTAGACTTGGGTTGAAGTCGGGTTGATCCACCCAAATTACACCCCTAGAATGCATGCAAGTGATTGTTGCAGGGGACTTTGGATTATATGGTGCATGGACCTTAGAAAATCTGCTACTCTGGGCATTTGCTTTTATTTGGGGGCATCGGTTCGTAGTCAAACCGGCCTCAACTAATTGTAACTCTGATAATTTCAGCACTCAGCTCTTTGGTTTTTTTTTTTTGAGCGTGAATATATACAATATTATTTGGTTTTACAAGTCTTTTGATGCTAAATATAAATAAATCACCATTTCTTTGTGTAGAATATTTTTTCGTTTGAGGCATCGGTTTAGTAGGTATGCACACAAACTTGAGTTAAATTCAAAATTTTTAGTACTTTGGTTGAACTTTTATATATTTGGGTTGGGTTTACACAAAAAATCCTAACCTAAATTGGATTTAGACAATACTTGGGTTGGAGCTTTGTTTGACGGGTTCAATCCAAACCTAATGCCAATTTATGAAATTAGGTTCAACCTGTATTCAATCCGAAATTTAAATAAAAAATGGCTAAGAGTCATTTATGAGAGCTATTAGAAAACGAGTGAAGTTGGCTCCTCTCTCATATGCGACAGATGATCTATTATTCAGTAAAATTCAATAAAAGTATAATAGAAAAAATATAAGAATCGCATAAAATATAATGAGGAAAACATGACATAGTATGAACTTATCTAAGAATTCTCATCACAAAGAAAACATTCAGTATTTCCACCCAGAGAATATACAAATTAACAAAAGCTCTTAGCCTTCAATGATAGTATCTACAAAGCATTCCAAACCATCAACCACCCAAAAACAAAATTAAAAAAAAAAGTAGAAATAAAAATACAAATTAACATATGTAATGCTTATTGTCATATGACAGATTTTTGCACTTCCAGGAGATTTTCATCTAAATAATGGCATGGCTCTTGGGTCTCTTGGCCTTTATCTGATCAGATAGTGTTCTCTTTCTGGTTTCGTCGGCCTTCAGCTTGTGAATGCTCTCCACTAGGACGCGCTTGTTCTTGAACACATTGCCTTTCACTTTCATGTACATGTCGTGGTACATGTGCCTGTCAATCTTGTCAAATTCGCGGTACTTTCGCAGCAAGCGCCTCAACACTCTCATTCTTCTCATCCAAACAACCTTCGTTGGTAGCCTTGCTTCTCTTGTTCCCTTTCGCTTTCCCTGTCCAGAGTGCCTTCCCTTCCCCTTTGCGTCCATGGCTTCTCGAGCATGAGATCGTGAGTGTACTTTTGTAGGTCTCTTGATGATGAAGCCATCTTTTATGAGCCTTCTTATGTTCATCCCTGCAAATAATTATGCATTATTGCACATCATTCTTAACTAATGCAACCCTCATTTTGGTGAGTGACTATTTGTGCATAGTTATTACGGGTGTCAGTCAAATTGTGTTGTACTATTTACATGTGTTATTTCAAGCTGTTTTGTGCTCGTATGAATATTATATTACTCTAAAATAATGCATACTCTGCAGGATAAATAAAAGAAAAATTAAAAAAAATACTAATTTTATTCGTAAAATATTAGCTAAGCAGCTTATTTGTTGTGCCTAACACTAACCCACTCATATACTATTAATGTTAAATGGTTGCATCGTTTTCACATAACATTGTGTTGATTCCATTGCGTATTTGCATTAATGAGTAAAATTAACTCATATAATTGATTGATTACACAAGTTTAATGGATGATTCTTGCATCTATGGGACTTAAGACATTTTTCTTTTATGTTTGGGCAATACGCAATCATTGTAGCTATGTATTTTTTGGACTTATGATTGCAGTTATCTCGCATGTATGCAATTATCTACGAATCACGTGCATCAATTAAATATGGATTTCATGTAACTAAAACTCAAATTGAGACATGAGTTTATGCCTGGCCTGTTCTACCGTTGAACCAAACCATACTAATTGAGTTATAACAACTGAACGAAAAAAATATTGAGCAATGATTGATATGGTTTTGTAGTTGATAGAATCAGAAGTAATGCAATCAAGTGAAGTAAAAGAGAGTTAAACATACTAGAATTGGCCATGGACATATCACTCGTCTCGTTTGGGTCTATCCAAACCTTTCCCTTGCCGCAGTTGAGTATGCTGGCTGCTAGCCGCTTCTGCAGCTTCAAAGACACCATTTTTCTGTTCTTTCCTTTTTCAAATGGTGTTGGCTGACGACGTTCTTCACAACTCCAAATATATATAGTGTGAGTTGTAAGAACCGTAGGCCAAATATCCAAACAACAATGCTGCTTAGCATTTTTCAAATCCAAAGAGTTGAAGTTGACCCCTTTGAAAATGTCCAACGGATTATTTCTTGGGAGCCAAGTAAAAATGTGGTAGATGTTTCCCACGTAATTGGTCTGACTTTTTAGTTGTTGAAATTTGGAGATCTCTCTTTACTTGGGGCCAAAGAAATAGGGCTACTTTTAAACAAATAAAGAAATAGGGGTAATTTCAAACAAATAATACAGAACTTCAAACAACATTGTCTTGACAATATTGTTATTTGGACCTAATTTATTGATATAATTTATCATAACGATTGAATTGGTAGCGGATTTTATTAAATATCGGGGTATACTGTAAATCCAATAATTTTAAATGATTAGGTCGATAAATTATATCAATAAATTAGGTTCAAGCAACATTGTATCTATTTGGGACACCAAAAGCAATGATGCCTATTGAAAAAAACATATAATGAGTTATGTTTTGTAAATAGTAGGGAAGTATCCTGGTAATCTCTTGAGGTTAGGTTATGAGGGAATTATTTTTCATGAATACTATAATTATGTTGTAGATGGCCCGCTTTTTACCGAACAGGGGAGGAAATTAGTTAAAATATGCGTAATTAATTCGGACACCTCTAACCATTAAACCAAAAAAAATAAAATAAAAGGGAAATGGGTGTTATGTTTTACTACCGGTATTAACATGGTAATAGTATAGAAACCTCATGCCTGATGCAGTAGATGTTCTAGATTTTATTTTTTGTACTCAAATGTCGCAATCCAATGACAAAAGTTGAGGATTGAGAACTAGTCCGTACCCAAGTTTTATATTGTCGAGTTTCACTGGTCGCATAAATGCTCAATTATTTATTTTCTTTATCAATAGGCTAGATTCATTGTCGAGCAGGAAAACAAATTAAACTAAGGGGATAAAGCTAACTACTGTTGCCCAAACCCCAGCAACTCCACTGCTGTACAAACTCCAGCCCATCGCTGTCACACCAAACAGCCCGTTTTGTATATTAGAATCCGAACCCAACCCTATTTAGATATAGCCCAATAGTGTGGGTAAAGGATGTTATGTGCCCCCCAAATCCACCCAAAGGGTTCATTAGTCCCTCACTATATCGTTATATTTTTAGTAAATTAAGCTAAGGTCCCTCTTTTAGTGTGTAAAGTAGGTTTAGTCCTAGCAGATTTTTAGTATATAAAAAGGTTCTCCTTATTTTTAAAAACTTTGGTGTCTCTGTGTTGGTGGGGTTGAGCAGTTATTTTATATTTATTATCTATTTTGTCCTTATCTCATGATTCTAGCTCAAAATTTGAGAGATGCAAGTGATACATGAAGTAATGGATAGATTTGGGAGAGGCCATGGTTGTGACAAGGACTGTGATGGAGAAGTGTGGGTGGTGGTGGAGGATTAGCTTTCCTAGTTCTACCCTCATAATGTCCAATTTGTAGAGCTACACAGAAATTGAGCAGGTGATTATGATCTTGCTATTGTCACTGGTCTTGGAACGATAAATGGCAGAAGCTATATGTTTATGGGTTATCAGAAGTGTAGAAATACAAAGGAGAACATTGAACGCAACTTTGGGATGCCTACATCTTATGGGTATGTATTTAGATAGATAAATCCTTAAATTTGAATTGTCTCTAGTTTTATGTACTTGTGGACTTATAATAGCGTATATGTAACTTCTTTTCAATTGAATACTGATGTACCTATCTTGTGAATGTATATATTTTTTTAATGTACCTAAATGATCGTGAATGTTGTTCGTCATATATGATAAGTTGTGTTCTTATATAAAAATGTATATTTTTATTGTGTATATGTTTGTGTACCAATCTGACAATTTATGTACCTGTCTGATGATTTGTGTTTGTGGAGAAGATTAGTGTATCTGTCTGATAATAACTGTGTTCCTACTGTGTACCTGTCTACAATTTGTATTTATGGAGAAAGATGTATATTATGATGAAGTAGCTTTCTAAAATAGGTGTTTAAATTAGGTGATGATATTATCATTATTTTTTGCAATTTTAAATGACATTAGTTATGTCTATTGCTTTGACTTTTCAACAAGAACTTAATTCAAAAGAAAATTCGCAACCGAGTATTTTTTTGGAATCTTATTGAGCCTAGGGACTGGCCTCCAAAAAACTCTTATATTTTTGAGGGAACAATATTATTGGGACTAAATTTGAGAATTTAATGCATTATAATCATTGTATTGATAGTAAAAAACATTATTTAATGAAGTTTAGAATCCATCCAATGATCACAATTCATTAATTCTATAAATTAATTCCATAAATTAGGTACAAGTAGTATTATCAATTTAGAGGTGAGCTTAACAGTGACAAATGGATGGGCAGATAATTTGATATTATTTTCAGTCATACTTGTTCCTCATTGACATGTTTTAACTTAGTTCAAGACACGGTTACAATCGTTGAAGAAATAGTTGTTACAAGACTAGACACCCTATAACAAAAAATAAAAATGAAATGGATGGATGGATGAATAATGACATGGGTCTAAATCAATTTCAATTCCCAACTCATTTTTTTTTTTTGGTTACAGAGTATTTAAGTTTGCGTCNCTTGCCGCAGTTGAGTATGCTGGCTGCTAGCCGCTTCTGCAGCTTCAAAGACACCATTTTTCTGTTCTTTCCTTTTTCAAATGGTGTTGGCTGACGACGTTCTTCACAACTCCAAATATATATAGTGTGAGTTGTAAGAACCGTAGGCCAAATATCCAAACAACAATGCTGCTTAGCATTTTTCAAATCCAAAGAGTTGAAGTTGACCCCTTTGAAAATGTCCAACGGATTATTTCTTGGGAGCCAAGTAAAAATGTGGTAGATGTTTCCCACGTAATTGGTCTGACTTTTTAGTTGTTGAAATTTGGAGATCTCTCTTTACTTGGGGCCAAAGAAATAGGGCTACTTTTAAACAAATAAAGAAATAGGGGTAATTTCAAACAAATAATACAGAACTTCAAACAACATTGTCTTGACAATATTGTTATTTGGACCAAATTTATTGATATAATTTATCATAACGATTGAATTGGTAGCGGATTTTATTAAATATCGGGGTATACTGTAAATCCAATAATTTTAAATGATTAGGTCGATAAATTATATCAATAAATTAGGTTCAAGCAACATTGTATCTATTTGGGACACCAAAAGCAATGATGCCTATTGAAAAAAACATATAATGAGTTATGTTTTGTAAATAGTAGGGAAGTATCCTGGTAATCTCTTGAGGTTAGGTTATGAGGGAATTATTTTTCATGAATACTATAATTATGTTGTAGATGGCCCGCTTTTTACCGAACAGGGGAGGAAATTAGTTAAAATATGCGTAATTAATTCGGACACCTCTAACCATTAAACCAAAAAAAATAAAATAAAAGGGAAATGGGTGTTATGTTTTACTACCGGTATTAACATGGTAATAGTATAGAAACCTCATGCCTGATGCAGTAGATGTTCTAGATTGTATTTTTTGTACTCAAATGTCGCAATCCAATGACAAAAGTTGAGGATTGAGAACTAGTCCGTACCCAAGTTTTATATTGTCGAGTTTCACTGGTCGCATAAATGCTCAATTATTTATTTTCTTTATCAATAGGCTAGATTCATTGTCGAGCAGGAAAACAAATTAAACTAAGGGGATAAAGCTAACTACTGTTGCCCAAACACCAGCAACTCCACTGCTGTACAAACTCCAGCCCATCGCTGTCACACCAAACAGCCCGTTTTGTATATTAGAACCCGAACCCAACCCTATTTAGATATAGCCCAATAGTGTGGGTAGAGGATGTTATGTGCCCCCCAAATCCACCCAAAGGGTTCATTAGTCCCTCACTATATCGTTATATTTTTAGTAAATTAAGCTAAGGTCCCTCTTTTAGTGTGTAAAGTAGGTTTAGTCCTAGCAGATTTTTAGTATATAAAAAGGTTCTCCTTATTTTTAAAAACTTTGGTGTCTCTGTGTTGGTGGGGTTGAGCAGTTATTTTATATTTATTATCTATTTTGTCCTTATCTCATGATTCTAGCTCAAAATTTGAGAGATGCAAGTGATACATGAAGTAATGGATAGATTTGGGAGAGGCCATGGTTGTGACAAGGACTGTGATGGAGAAGTGTGGGTGGTGGTGGAGGATTAGCTTTCCTAGTTCTACCCTCATAATGTCCAATTTGTAGAGCTACACAGAAATTGAGCAGGTGATTATGATCTTGCTATTGTCACTGGTCTTGGAACGATAAATGGCAGAAGCTATATGTTTATGGGTTATCAGAAGTGTAGAAATACAAAGGAGAACATTGAACGCAACTTTGGGATGCCTACATCTTATGGGTATGTATTTAGATAGATAAATCCTTAAATTTGAATTGTCTCTAGTTTTATGTACTTGTGGACTTATAATAGCGTATATGTAACTTCTTTTCAATTGAATACTGATGTACCTATTTTGTGAATGTATATATTTTTTTAATGTACCTAAATGATCGTGAATGTTGTTCGTCATATATGATAAGTTGTGTTCTTATATAAAAATGTATATTTTTATTGTGTATATGTTTGTGTACCAATCTGACAATCTGACGATTTGTGTTTGTGGAGAAGATTAGTGTATCTGTCTGATAATAACTGTGTACCTGTCTACAATTTGTATTTATGGAGAAAGATGTATATTATGATGAAGTAGCTTTCTAAAATAGATGTTTAAATTAGGTGATGATATTATCATTATTTTTTGCAATTTTAAATGACATTAGTTATGTCTATTGCTTTGACTTTTCAACAAGAACTTAATTCAAAAGAAAATTCGCAACTGAGTATTTTTTTGGAATCTTATTGAGCCTAGGGACTAGCCTCCAA